GCCACCCGTGTCCCAGCTTTTCAGGTAGAAACCATTAATGTAGATGCAGCTCAGGGGATTAGATCTGTTCCAGATGTTCATTGGAAACTCCACCTATTCTGGTTTTGTAGAAGCTGAGCTACACCCATGCCGCCATCCACCAGCTGCACAGGAATATAAACTAAGAGCAGAATCCAGTCTTCCTAAAAGTCTCTCTTTTTTCCTAAGGCTAAGTTTCTGTGAATGTGACCAACATGTTTTGAAAGTATATTGCGATAAGCCACAGCGCTTCTGGGGTGTGGGGATGCCTGTCTACCTCCCTATTGCAGCGGCTCTTTGCTTCTTGATGCTTCTGTTCAGAGACCTTAACACCTGTGGTGGCTATTCTGGGGTAAAAAAACCACCAGTTCTTTGCTATCTCATGAGGGGGCGGGAGGTGGGTTATCTCCTTGAACTGCAAGAAGAAGAAGAAACTTTAAAATGGTTGCTAGTTAAAAGAAAGAGAAGGGAGTTTTCTTATGTTAATAGATGCTAGAGTGGTCTGTGCTAAAATACTGAGGGGAAGTGTCTGTATTGAAAGAATGGTTATTAAAAAATAAGGAATTTATCTGCTGTGAGCAAAATTGTGTAAAGGGAGGATAGCAAAAGAAAAGAAATAAATAAACCAATTTGGAGACTGTGTTAGTATTTTCAAAATATTGAACTGCCATTAAGAATAGCTGTTCTCCTTTCTTATAAAAGAAATGCAGTTTTGAGCTTTAGAAATATTTTGATTACCTTTTTATTTCCTTTTTTGCTGTTTAGTCAAACATTTTGTAATTGTGTTTGGACTCGGAGATTGTGTGTATGTGTGTGTGGATATATACCCTCAAACAAGAAAATTAAAATGTGAATCAAATTACCTCCTTTAAAATCACCTTTTCGGTTGTCTGGAGCTTATATGATGGAGCCGGCCTATTCAGATGGAAGCCAAACGGAAATGTTGTGAAGATGAAAGCATTTTAAAATCCCCGGCTTGATTTTTAATTTTCAAAAGCGATATTGCTGGAACGTGCTACCAATCCCTGGTGACATTTAGGGAAACGAGCTTTCGGGAACTACTTCAGTAGCTCGGGGTGGTTGATATTCCTGTGTTTCATGGCTGTTTTGAAAAAGATCACAAAGGTTTTAGGAAATTAAGAGGCAGGAAACTTACTGGCAGAGGGTTATTTGCTGGGTTGTCTTTTTTTTTTTTAGGACAACACAGGGAGAAAATGATGCAATGGGAGAGAGATGATTGTGGGGGAGCTTTTCCCATTTATCTCAGGAGGAGGAAACCTCCAGATGCTGCTGTACTACAACTCCCATCATCCCTGACCATTAGCCATGCAGGCAGGCATCTGATGGGAATCAGAGCACAGCAACATCTGGAATGCCACAGGTTCCTCACCTGTGGAATTATCTGTAGCATTCCTGCCAAGGCCAGCAGAAACTATGGGGGAGACAGTGGAACAGCGCCAGTGCTTTTTCCCCTGGCGGTACGCATACCCCTAAACGTTTTGTGAATTTAAGTTTGGCCTCATTGAGGGGCAGTATTTCAACATGAGTAGGAACATGAGAGTGCCCCTAAACATTTTTTAATAATAATAATGTAATATATTGTTTATACCCAACCCATCTGGCTGGGCTTCCCCAGCCACTCTGGGCGGCTTCCAACAAAATATTAAAATACAGTAATGCATCAAACATTAAAAGCTTCCCTAAACAGGGCTGTCTTCAGATGTCTTCTAAAAGTCTGGTAGTTGTTCTCTTTGACACCTGGTGGGAGGGCGTTCCACAGGGCAGGTGCCACTACCAAGAAGGCCCTCTGCCTGGTTTCCTGTAACTTGGCTTCTCGCAGTGAGGGAACCGCCAGAAGGCCCTCGGCGCTGGACCTCAGTGTCCAGGCAGAATGATGGGGGTGGAGACGCTCCTTCAGGTATACTGGGCCAAGGCCGTTTAGGGCTTTAAAGGTCAGCACCAACACTTTGAATTGTGCCTGGAAATGTACTGGGAGCCAATGTAGGTCTTTCAGGACCAGTGTTATGTGGTCTCGGCAGCTGTTCCCAGTCACCAGTCTGGCTGCCGCATTCTGGATTAGTTGTAGTTTCCAGGTCACCTTCAAAGGTAGCCCCACGTAGAGTGTGTTGCAGTAATCCAAGCGAAAGATAACTAGAGCATGCACCACTCTGACAAGACAGTCCATGGGCAGGTAGGGTCTCAGCCTGCATACCAGATGGAGCTGGTAGACAGCTGCCCTGGACACAGAATTGACCTGCGCCTCCATGGACAGCTGCGAGTCCAAAATGACTCCCAGGCTGTGCACCTGGTCCTTCAGGGGCACAGTTACCCCATTCAGGACCAGGGAGTCCTCCACACCTGCCCGCCTCCTGTCCCGCCAAAACAGTACTTCTGTCTTGTCAGGATTCAACCTCAATCTTTTTTTAGGGGAAAAAAGCACTGAACAGTGCCATGCAGTGTGCCCCACCCATTACCCCCACATGCAACCAGAGATGACCTGGCAGTTGCACCCCTGTAATGAACAGCAGAGGAAAGCCCATAGCTCAGGGGTAGATCCTCTGCTTTGCATGCAGAAGGTCCCAGGTTCAGTCCCCGGCACAGGGCTTGGAATGTCACCTACCCAGGAGAGCTGCTGTCTATCAGCCTGGACAGCGCTGGGCTTGATGGACCAATGGTCTGGCTCAGCCTTATAAAGAAACTGGCTTTATATGGCTACTAGCTGCAAGGGCTATGGTACCTCAGAGGTAGTAGGCCTCTGAATGTCAGTTGCTGGAAATCAGAGGTGGGAAGAATTCTGCTGTGCTCAGGTCCTCCTTGTGGGCTTCGCATGGTCCTCTGGTTGGCCACTGTGAGAACAGGATGCTGGACTAGACGGTCCATTGGCCGGATCCAGCAGGGCTCTTCTTCCATTCCCTAACTCTGTGTCAGGTGCGCGTGCAGGAGGCAAGCCCTGTGATCAATAGGACTCTGCAGGACTGGGGCCTTCCTAAGTTTGTTCTGAAGAGGCAAGGCGTGGCCACACAGCTGAGGCCAATTGGTAACTCACAGCAACTGGTGGCAAGAGCCGGGAAGGGATATAAGGTCAGCATTTTCCCTTCGGATCTTTGCCACAGAACCCCTTCACTGCCTTGCTGCGTTTGGTTCCTTGACTCCTTGCTTCTTGATCCTCGGACCCATGACTTTGTGACTCCTGGCTTCTTGATCCTCGGACCCTTGACTTCTTCACTCCTGGCTCTCTGACCCTTGGACTCTTGGCTTCCCGACTCCTGGCTTCTGGCTTCTGGACTCCCGTTCCTTCTCCCACCCCGCCATCTTGCCCCCGGTCCCGACGTCCCCAGCCAGGACTTTGATCGCTCGTGAACCAGACCATGACACTCTGAAGCTCATTTCAACCCCGCTCCTATCTCAACTGTTGCCTTCTCAAGCTGCCTCATCTCAGACTTTGCTGTTCCCTTTATGTTCTGTCCCTTCTCTTTCGTCTTTAAACATGATGGGGTGTGTGTGTGTGTTATTTTATTTTTTGAATTTCATACCTCAACTGGACTGACATTGACTCGAGTGGCACTTTGAAAAACTTCCCTTGGCAGATTATTACTATTATTAAATTTTTTAAAAAAGAATGCATTTGAAGCACGATGAAGAGCATAGATTGCTATCTTCAGTAGATTTCCCTCTCGTGTTAACAACTGAAATGTCAGGCGTAGTGTTGAGGGAGCTGATTGGCAGGCAGTGGTGAAGGATTCGGAGAGGGGTGTTCTTAATTTTCAGAGCTGTTCTGATTTTCAGGATGTGGAAGCTCTCTTGTTATCTCTGGACACACACCTATAAAACATATATAGTAGGGGTTGCCAACCTTTCACACATGGGCACCAGTGCTTTCCATGGAAGGTCCATGAAAGGTCTCCGTAAATAGTCCCTCAGAAATCTATGCTGCTCGGTTTCTGCTTGCATCGGCTCACCAGTGGAAACCTTGGATCAGACACTTGCTCTGCTTACCATTCTGAGCAGAAGAGAGGTGGAAAGAGCTTTTTCCCGTAAGTGAGCATGGCAACGGCTGATTTAATTGCCTTCCTCCTCTCTGCCCCTTCATTCACTGGGGAGAAAATCTACACCACTTTATGCTCCTCCCTGCTCTTTTAGATGCAGCAGCCGTTTGGTGCAATACCACAAAGACCCCTTTGGCAGCCATTTTGTGACTGGCACCCACAGCACTTCTGCAAAATTCCACATGTGCCTGGCCCTACAAAGGTTGATGGCCCAACCTGTGGTGGCCATCTTTGTCCTGTTCTGCTGGATCTTTAGGGCTCAGCAGAGCCAGTGTGGTGTAGTGGTTAAGAGCGGTAGTCTTGTAATCTGGGAACCGGGTTCGCTTCCCGCTCCTCCACATGCAGCTGCTGGGTGACCTTGGGCCAGTCACACTTCTCTGAAGTCTCTCAGCCCCACTCACCTCACAGAGTGTTTGTTGGAGGGAGGAAGGGAAAGGAGAAAGTTAGCCGCTTTGAGACTCCTTCGGGTAGTGATAAAGCAGGATATCAAATCCAAACTCTTCTTCAGCAGAGGAGTTGAGGTAACAAAGCAGGTCAAATCAGCTCTGGGCACAAGTCATCAGAGTCCAGACAAGTCTCTCTAAGAATGTCAGGAGCCTGGGCAGTCCCAGTGGGTCCTACTGACTGAGACTTGTCTCTGCGAAGCACTGGGGCTACCCAAGGCTTTATCTATGCAGCAGTTTGCCGTGTGTCCTTGAGGAACTGGCTGTGGTGACTTCAAGGCCCCATGTCTGATTCGATAGGCACTGACTATGCGAGGGAAGGGATGAGGATGTCATTGGGAGCTCACCATCCAAGTCCAAGGAAGGTGGGAGAGCCAAGTACTTGGGCCAGAGGAAGGGTGGAACCATAACTTGCCTAATTTCTATATTTCACATTTCCAGGCATGTTTAATCTTTCTTGACATTCTTGCTTTTTTAAATAATAATAATACAGGGATTCTCCAGGACAGCAGCAGTCTGCGCCTCTTCCTCTTGATATGTGGTCTGAGAAGAGTCAAGGATCCTCTTTATTTAGTGGATGCTTTTGCAGGTTGGTACCCCCCTTCCTTTCTCTTTCGCTTCGTAGCAAATGCAGGATTAGTTTTGATTCATTATGTTTCTGTGACGCTTTTCATTTAAAGGGATCCCAAAGAGGCTTCCAAACGATAAGTAATGATAGCATGATTGAACGTAATAGAACATCACAGATACAGCACAAAAAATTTAGAATAATTAACAACTCGTCCGTGAAACAATGACACTCTGTTAAACTGATTTAACAAAGCAACAACTAAAAAATAAATTCAGGTAGGTAGCTGCATTGATCTGATGCAGCCAAAATAAATAAATAAATAAATAAATAAATAAATAAATAAATAAATAAATAAATAAATAAATAATAAATTGTGCAGTAGCACCTTATAGACCAACTAAGTTTGTTCTGGTATAAGCGTTCGTGTTTCTCTGTCTTGTGATTCCTGATGTCAGATTTATGTCCATTTATCCTTTGGCATAGGGTTTGGCCTGTTTGTCCAATACAGTGGTACCTCGGGTTAAGTACTTAATTCGTTCTGGAGGTCCGTTCTTAACCTGAAACTGTTCTTAACCTGAAGCACCACTTTAGCTAATGGGGCCTCCTGCTGCCACTGCACCGCCAGAGCACGATTTCTGTTCTCATCCTAAAACAAAGTTCTTAACCCGAGGTACTATTTCTGGGTTAGTGGAGTCTGTAACCTGAAGTGTATGTAACCTGAAGTGTATGTAACCCGAGGTACCACTGTATAGATAGCTGAAGGGCACTGTTGGCATTTGATGGCATACACAATGTTAGAAGATGAGCTGTTAAATAGGCCTGAGATAGTCTGGTGCTACTGGACAATTCTTTATTTTATTTTAACTAAAAAAATAAGCTAAACATCACAAAGCAAAATTCATGTTATATGATTAACAAATCAATACATGTTTACAATCTGCGAAGCAATATTAACATTAACAAAGCAGCAGCCAAAAAACAAACTAAGCACTGTTAAGTCCATACATACACTCCCCACACCCTCATGACTCATAATCTTTCCCTCTATTCAGTCCATTAAAGAGACACATACACATAATATTCATGGCAGCAGCTCCCTTGTGAAAGGTTCCTTGGGCTGGAGGTGGAGCAGCATCTCCTGATGGCAAACAGAGTCTCTCCAACCCCCAACCCCCCATAGTTCTTCCTCTGGAAACAGCTCCTTTATGAAGGCTCCTAAGGTGGGTGGGGGCCAAGGCAGGTGGGAAAAGCCATTACCTGTTGGCCAACACCAAATCTTTCTCCCCTGCCCTTGATAGTCCCACTTGGCTCAGTAGTTCCTGCCCCAGCCCTTCTCCAACCTGATGTCCTCCTGAGGTTGATGGACTCCCATCAGCCCAAAGCAGTCTGCTAGTTGGGTCTGGTGGGATCTGAAGCCTTGGAGGGCACCAGGTTGGGGGAAGGCTGGCACAATGAGAAATGAGGCCCAAGCGATCAAGTTGGGCAAGGCCATGGAATATTTTTTTAAGGAAAGGTCAAGAAGTCTACTGAACACAGAATCAGGGGCAGGGACTGGATGGCTGTGTGTGTGTGTGTGTGTGTGTGTGAGAGAGAGAGAGAGAGAGAGAGAGAGAGAAAGAGAGAGAGAAGAGAGAAAGAATTGAAGGGGACAGGCTTCAGGGAGACAGCTCTGAGCACAAGCATTTACACTTGTACTGAAGAGAACCCACATAAGTGACAAGGCTTCGGAACTGACCCTCAGCAACAGAACATTGATTAAGCAATGAATTTAATCATCAGACTAATCCAGGCTCTCTGCGCTGAAGCTGAGCTGTAAATTCTGAACATGGGGTAGTAATCCACTTCGCTGCTACATAGGGCTGTCACTTGACTGAAGAAATCTTAGCAGGTTGATTGTGTGAGGTTCAGTCAATTAATTGGCCAGATGTTCGTACTTTTGCAGATGAAGGAAGCAGGACCACTGGGTTGTGTGTGTGTGTGGAGAGGCATAGATCATGTGTGTGCTTGTCACCAAGGCAGCATCCAGGAAGAGATGTTCCCACGTATGAGTGTGAGAGGAGGGAGGTTGCCTCTGCTAGCACTATACTAAAATTTGTTTATTAAAACAACTTATTTATTAATTTATTGGGACAGAACGTTGTTTTTCTTTAGAACTAGCAACCTCGTGCCTGGTGTTGCTTAGGAATTCTTAAGGGACAAAAAAAATTGGTATGGTTTTGGAATCTGGTTTTAAATCAGTGCGGTTTTGATAGGTTCAGTCCTCCATCCTGATTCAAAATGGCATCCAATTTTATCCAAGCATAGATGAAAACTTGCTTCTTGAACCCAGGCAGCATAATGCAAAATACCAACTCTTATGAGATGTCCAAATGCTTAAAGCAAACGAGCAAACAACTTTCCAAAATATATAGTAGACTGTTTTATTCACATGCAGATTTGATTGATTGAATAATTCATTAAGATGCATATGATTTGATCAAGTATGGTTTCTTTAACTGAGCTACAGGAGGGCCAGAATACCATGGCTAGGAGAGAGAGCAAGTAGTACCTGTATCTGAAGGAGCTCTGCAAGATGTAGGGCAGTTGGAAAAATTACAATGTCGTGGCCTCAGTCCCCCAGCTGTGAATTGGGCATAATGGCTGTCGGGTTTGCCGGAATGATTGATACATCAGCACAACAGTGATTGCGAAGAGCTTTCCAGTATCACGTCTGCTATGGAAATGCAGAGTTCAGTTCCTGTTACCCTGACCAGTGCTTCTGTGTTCATTGACTTTTCACGAATGCCTCCCTCCAGAAACAGCAAAATAACTTTGTGGTTGATTAATTAATTAATTTTAAGTCTGCTGCCCAGTAGGTTGGGGGCACCTTCCTTTTTTTTATTAATGAGTCAAAAATTGCATAAACCAATTAACTGATGGATTGCCCAAGTTTCTCTTTACAATGCCCTAACCAGAACAATATGATGCTTATTTTCCTGTAACCAGAACTCTCTCCTGTTGTTTGATAGAATGGCACCGAGAGGAGCCCAGCACACACCTGATTATAATTGGACCCGCAGTAAGTTTCCCTGCTTTCTTTGTAAGCATTCTTTCTAAATATAAATTCTTTGCGTGAATTTGTTTTCATGTGCTATGGCAGGCAGGCCTGTTAAGTCTATAGCCCCCCACTGAGAAGGAGTCATCCCTCAAAACTGCTGTGTGGGGCTTCCACCAGAATGTCTTGCTAGATTATGCCCCGTGAGTCAGATCTGTCTGCCCTTAAGGTCACACTAAACCAAGGATTGCCAGCCTGGTGCTCTTATGTGCCAGTATGCCCACTTGTACCTCCTATGGCACCCGCATAAGGTCTCAGCAGGTATCCCTTCAAAAACCCGTAATTCTCCCTCTACTCACTTCCAGTTTGCACAATTGTATTTTTTGTTTTTTAGGCCATCTGAAAATGTTAGAGTAAAATATAACCCACTAAACTGCCTCTGCTCCTCATAGAATTTCCTTTTTTTTTAGTGGGAGAAAGGGGTTTAGTGTTTGCAGATGACACCAAACTGGGAGGGGTGGCTAACACCCCAGAGGACAGGATCACACTTCAAAACGACTTTGACAGATTAGAGAACTGGGCCAAAACAAACAAGATGAACTTTAACAGGGAGAAATGTAAAGTATTGCACTTGGGCAAAAAAAATGAGAGGCACAAATACAAGATGGGGGACACCTGGCTTGAGAGCAGTACATGTGAAAAGGATCTAGGAGTCTTGGTTGACCACAAACTTGACATGAGCCAACAGTGTGACGCGGCAGCTAAAAAAGCCAATGCAATTCTGGGCTGCATCAATAGGAGTATAGCATCTAGATCAAGGGAAGTAATAGTGCCACTGTATTCTGCTCTGGTCAGACCTCACCTGGAGTACTGTGTCCAGTTCTGGGCACCACAGTTCAAGAAGGACACTGACAAACTGGAACGTGTCCAGAGGAGGGCAACCAAAATGGTCAAAGGCCTGGAAACGATGCCTTATGAGGAACGGCTAAGGGAGCTGGGCATGTTTAGCCTGGAGAAGAGGAGGTTAAGGGGTGATATGATAGCCATGTTCAAATATATAAAAGGATGTCATATAGAGGAGGGAGAAAGGTTGTTTTCTGCTGCTCCAGAGAAGTGGACACAGAGCAATGGATCCAAACTACAAGAAAGAAGATTCCACCTGTTCGACAGTGGAATTTGCTGCCAAGGAGTGTGGTGGAGTCTCCTTCTTTGGAGGTATTTAAGCAGAGGCTTGTCAACCATATGTCAGGAGTGCTCTGATGGTGTTTCCTGCTTGGCAGGGGGTTGGACTCGATGGCCCTTGTGGTCTATTCCAACTCTATGATTCTATGTTGGTTTGGGGTGTTCGTGGAGTGGGGGTAGGATAGCCACAACAGACCCAAAATCACCTGATGCAATCTCTGCCTTTCACGGTGTGGAATTCTCTTTCAATCAGCTTGATGAAGCGGCTGCCCAAACAAAAATGAAGACACAACACGTAGGCTAATGACTGCTAAATCATATGTAATAGAATATCATTCAGAAGGTAGAAATGAATCTATTGGAGTTCATATATGCAGTGTAACAGACTAGTGGCGCAGAACATCAAGCCATGTGTTCAAGATAGGCGTCAAAAGGTCAGTCTCACAATGGTTATTCAAAGGTTTCAACGAAAGACGATTCAAACGTCTAAAAAGTAAGGTTTTCGCAAATGTTTTTCAAAAGTTCCAACGGAGGACGTCCCAAAAGTCTCAAGGACAGTGTTTCTGGAATGGTACTACTGTTTCGTGATAGTCTTCACCAGCTGAAAATACAATACAAAGCATACAACCAATGAATGATAACAGAACTGAGCTACCTGCATACACATTGTATATTGAAACGGAATATACAAAACAAGGTTGTTAGCCTGTGGGACTCATTGCCCTTGGATGTCCCGAGTGCCGGTAACATCACTGAGTCCGCAAAAAGACTGAGCTACACGCTCACACATGACAAATTTTTATTTTGTAGTTTAAAAGCAAAGGCAACAGTCCCAAACCAGATCAGAACCACAAGGCAGAGAGAGAGAGAGAGAGAAAGGAAAGAACATTTCATTTGTGTTGTTTCCTGTTTTAAAAATCAGACTCCCCCGCCCCCAGCTGCAGTTTGCCTCCATCTGTGCCATTTGCTCTTTTGAAATACAGATCGTCCTTCTTGACCTCTGTACCAAGTAGGATCAAACATGTCCTGTGACTGCACTAACAGCTCATCTCTGTGTTCAGGCTATTTTGAAGCCATTCCTGCCGGTCTTGCGTTTGCACATAATTAACAGATGTCAGCTGGTAGCAAACGACTGAGATTTCTGTCTGGCAAGAGTCTGCACAGAATTCCAGCTGACAATGGAAGTGGCAGGGGTGATACGCCCCCGGTAAAACAGATTTACTGGAATTCAGCTCGAAACTTTGCAGTGCTGAGAAAGTTTGAAGTCGAGGGCAGTGGGGTGGGAAGAGAAGTAACGGAAAACAAATGCCCTTCAGGTTAAATTCTCCAGGGTAAGTTCTCCAATGCAGCAACTAATATCAGAGTTAATTTTCCCCCTGGGGGGGGGATGTAAGGGGGCGGAAGAGGGAATTCTTCATATCAATAACATAATTTTATATATACTCAAGCACTCCGATGATAAATTCTCAATAGGCCAAATCCTATGTGGTATATTTTGACACGGGCTGAGTATGTTTCTACACAAAGATCTTCCTCAGTTATGGTTTGCGTCTCTATACAGTGGTACCTCGGGTTAAGTACTTAATTCGTTCCGAAAGTCCGTTCTTAACCTGAAACTGTTCTTAACCTGAAGCACCACTTTAGCTAATGGGGCCTCCTGCTGCTGCCGCGCCGCCGGAGCACAATTTCTGTTCTCATCCTGAAGCAAAGTTCTTGACCCGAGGTATTATTTCTGGGTTAGCGGAGTCTGTAACCTGAAGCATATGTAACCCGAGGTACCACTGTGTATTAAATTCTGTAATTGTTTTTAATTGCATAGGCTTTCTTTTTAAAAACGAATAAATGTGAAGTCGCTTCGAGATATTTCATGGGAAGCGATGTAATAAAATGGGATTAAATAAATAAACTGACAGGCTCCCCCCATCCCTAATAAAACATCAAAGAAAAGGAAGATGGTTTTCCAGGCCAAGTTTGTATCTATGGCCACATTAAAGAAGAATAATTTGTTTATCCAGGATGGTTGTTTGCAAACGGGTGGGGGGAGGGGAGGTCTTGAAGTGAATCATTTTGCCCGCCTCCTCTGAAGTTTTGCGTTTAAGAGAGCCCGCACCTATTGATTTGTCATGTTCGGTCATGTTTCTTTGATGCTGTATTAGGCCACTGATACGATTTGTGCCTTCCAGTATCCTGCCGCATTAGGAAGAGCGCTCTCTGCTTCTGAATCTGGCAACGCTGACTGCCATGGAAGGGTTTGGAGAGGGAGACCCAGCTGCTTGTGAAGGTTCATAGGAGCTCAGGGATGATGGGAGTTGTAGTCCAACAACATCTGGGGACCCACAGGTTGAGAACCGCTGATTTAGAGCAAGAAAACAACTCAAGCAAAACATTAAACATCCACACTTTAAAATGTGCAGTAAAACAAGCCAGTTGAAACAGAAGGTCCAGGTCCACTTGGCAGAGCTCAGGATTCTAGTTTAAAAAGAAAAGTGGATCTTGCAAGCCTGCTCATGCTTGCTCCCACTGGGGAGTTAGGACACAGGGTGCTTCTAAATACCAGTTTCTGGAAACCATCGGAGGGGAGAGACTTTCTCTTGTGCTCATCAGGTCTAGTTTGCATGCATATGGTTGGCCACTGCGAGAAGAGGAGGCAGGCTTTGATGGGCCATTGGCCCTGATCCAGCATGGCTTTTCTTACATTCTCAGGTTCTTTCTCCATTCAGCGTCTGTTTTGGATACAAGAGTGTGCATGTATTTATTCTTATGCAAACACACACACACCATATCTTCCTGGGTAAATCAACCCCGCTTGCAAGGTTTGCCAGTCTGATATCCTGGAAACTGCACTGTTCGCCCCCTTCTGTCATTTATTCCCCCTGCCCTCCCCAGCCCTGAAACATCTCTGATGCAAAACGAATGCAATTTCCCCACTCTTATTAACTTGTCTCTTAGAACCTTCAGCTCCTATATTTTCATTAGAACATTGAGTTGTCTTATTACCTTCCTGCTTTTCATTGTGCTGGTTATTTTTCTTTCTTTCTTTTTAATCTCTGTTTCTTTCCACTCTGATACACTGCAAGATTTGAAAGCGAACTGGGGTGGAAGAGAAAATTGGGAGCAGGTATAATGTGGTTTGCGTTTCCGATGCCTTCAGATGCAGCCTGTGAAAGATTTCAGGCACTTCACTTTACATCTGCTTCACTTTCCCCAGAAACAAACAGGCGCATCCCACCTTAGCCCCACAAATTTGGGAAATTTCTCAAAACATTTATATATCCTAAAGTTTAATTGCACACCTGCTTTTTCCTTTCATTTTTGGGGAAAAGTTTCTGAAAATGCTTAAACTGCAGCAGCACAGGGATTGGTAAAAAGAAACCAAACCAAGTGAAACAGCTTTGTAGTGGATGAGATTATTTACTTATTTGTAAGGCATTTCTGCATGGTGATTTGACTCTGCCAAGGCATTTTGTGACTATTAAACACCAATGTTGTTGAAGAGAGCATCTGCAACAGAAGAAAACAGGCTTTGAAACCCTATCTGAATGAAATTTAAACACATTAAAACCCCGGTGGAACAAGAATGTTTTGGGCTGCATTCCTGGGGGGCCATAGGATGAAGAAGAAGACGAAGAGTTTGGATTTGATATCCCACTTTATCACTACCCGAAGGAGTCTCAAAGCGGCTAACAATCTCCTTTCCCTTCCTCCCCCACAACAAACACTCTGTGAGGTGAGTGAGGCTGAGAGACTTCAGAGAAGTGTGACTAGCCCAAGGTCACCCAGCAGCTGCATGTGGAGGAGCAGGGAACCCGGTTCACCAGATTACGAGTCCACCGCTCTTAACCACTACACCACACTGGCTCAGCCAGATGAATCGGTTCCTGTGCTCCCCAAGGACCATGGGATCTTCCCAGGGAAGGAGAGAGAGAGAGTCACCATCTTGGAGGCAAATCTCACCTCCCTTTGCTTCTTCAGTGAGACACTGGATAGGTTCACAGCCAGTGCTCACCCATTGTAGAACAGGGTAGAAAGGAAGTTATATGTCAGTGTTGGAGGTGCTGGGGAAAACGAGCTCCCACACCACCCTGGAACAATAAATGTCTGTTAGAGATGGGTACAAACGAAGTAAGAGGAAGCAGAAGAAATTCTTGTCAAATCTGAAAGTTCTTCACCTGTAGCTTTTGGATGGGCAAGGATCTCGCATCCAATTTTAGGCTAAACCCCTAGAGCTGGCATAGTTTTAGGGGTTTTTTAAGGCCAGAACAAAAAAGAAGGGGGGGAATGCCTGCCCCCCTGCCAGCATGGGCCCAGCAGAACATTTAAAAAGGCAGATCCAGCCACCTTTGGTTCTCCTTGTCCACTGACTGTCAGAAGGTCCTACACACAAGTAGGAATCCGGCAGAGAGACATACCCGGCTGGCATGTTCTCTCCCTCCTGGTCGTTCGTTCTGGAGCTTCAAAAGCTTTCTCCAGCCCAAACATCACAGTGACTTGTACCAGGAGGCATCATCACACTTCAGGATCAGCAGAGTAGAGGCAAAAAATGGGGTAGAGGAGTGAAGTAAATTTTACTTTTACACTTATGCATTCCACCAGACAAGTGAGAAGCAGTATCAGAGTTCAAGCACACCTTCAATCCAGGCAAAAACATTCAAGGAGGGTTCAAAGCAGAGCCAGTGATCTAGGTGTGTGGTGTGGGGAAAGTCCCAAGGGCCGGATGAAGGGGCCCGGAGGGCCACATTTTGCCTGAGTCCTGAGGTTCCCCACTCCTGGTGTCCAGCAAAACTGCAACCTCAGCCCATTAATTTTTTTCCAATGTGCAGGATGAGTGGCTGTTCATAAGTTTCCTGTGTTTTATTTCCCCTGCCGTAGGTTGATCCACTGTTTGCAGAGGAAGTCAAAGAGAAAATTAAAAGGTAGGCTCCTAATTTGGAGATTTTTTAAAAAATAAATAAATAGAAAAGTATATAGCTGTATTTATTTCCCCCAATTTCTCATTGCAAACAAATCTCTTTCAATGTTGCTCAGATTTACTCGAGAAGCTCGATTCCTACTGAGACCTCCTATGTTCACTTCAGTTTGAGGTGGCGATTTTACTGAAGCATACATTTTCTGGCTCAGAATTACGAGTGTTAAGGGCTCGTAACATTCACCTTGAATACAAGACAAGCATTATGACCCCATAATTCTTCTCTGGCTTGGATTTTCACCCAAGTTGGAAAAGGCAAACCAGCTTGCCAGCTGATAGATAACTCTAAAAAGAGCTCTGAGAAAGAGGCTTCTGAGCAAAATTAGCCATTTATAATCCAAAATTGAAATCCAAAATGTTTACGTTTCAGTTTATGGGTGGGGGAGCTTCAGGGGAGGTTGGGAACATTTCAGGAGAAGGGATATTAATCCTGTCTTGCTGCTACATTGGAAGATGTGTGTGTTAAGTACTTGTTTATTTTGATATAGCACCACCAAAGTATGTGGCACATTTTATGTGGATGTTCCTGAATTTATTGGGAGGGGCCACAGATTAGTGCTAGAGCGTCTGCTTTGTGCACAGAAATTCCCAGGTTTCATCCCCAGCTCAACCTGAAATCTTTCTGCCATCCAATATCTCCATACGACTCTCAAGTCCAGTGTCTGGAGGCCAACTAACAGTCCATCTTTGCTTGGTAGGGCGGACGGGGTGCATTTGCTACAGGAGATCTCTCAAGAAGACCTGCACGCTCTTGTGAAAAAATGCTTTGCCGTTGTCAACAGTTCCATTTCGGAGGGGATGTCGGCCACAATCTTAGAGGTAATTGCATCTGAACATTGACCTTCATGTTGAACGTTCCCTTGCTCGGCTGGTTTGAAATCTCCATCAGCTTCCTGTCTGCCTTTCAGAGCCCGCAAAACACAAGGGCTTCCTCTAAAACATTATGCAGGAACAGTTAGCAACTCACAGTTTCAGCCGGCCTGTGAAATTAACAAATGCTCAGCGGGTGAGGAATGGGAAGCTGTAGCCTTCGTCTTGTTGTTTGTCAGTCTCAATCAAAATCGTCAGTCATCAGGAGCGATGGGAGCTGTTGTCCAGCAATATCTAGAGCAGGCATAAGCAAACTCGGCCCTCTAGCTGTTTTGGGACTACAACTCCCATCATCCCTAGCTAACAGGACCAGTGGCCAGGGATGGTGGGAGTTGTGGTCCCAAAACATCTGGAGGGCTGAGTTTGCCTATGCCTGATGTAGAGAGACAACCTCCTTCCTTATAGTCCATCTCAGGTGCCAAGATCAGCAGAGGGGGCCCTCTTGGTACTTCCAGCACCCTCAGAAGTTCAGGGGGCAGTGGCAACCTAGGACAGAGCCTTCTCTGTGGCATCCCCAAAATTGTGACATTCCCTCTGCGTATAGATGCACCTGGCATCTTCATGATGTAGCTTTTGTTGGATGCTGAAGGCACACTACTTTACCCTGGCATTTGACATCAGAGAGAGAGAGAGAGAGAGAGAGAGAGAGAGAGAAATGGACCTACCTCATTTTCTTGACAAAGATTTCTTTTAACTGATTTAATTGTAACTCACCCCAGTAAAAAGTAATGGACCCCTGACTATTAGGTCCAGTCGTGACCGACTCTGGGGTTGCGGCGCTCATCTCGCTTTATTGGCCAAGTGAGCTGGCGTATAGCTTCCAGGTCATGTGGCCAGCATGACTAAGCCGCTTCTGGTGAACCAGAGCATCACACGGAAACGCCGTTTACCTTCCCGCCTATTTATCTACTTGTACTTTTGACATGCTTTCGAACTACTAGGTTGGCAGGAGCAGGGACCAAGCAACGGGAGCTCACCCCGTCGTGGGGATTTGAACCGCCGACCTTCTGATCGGCAATTCCTAGGCTCTGTGGTTTAACCCACAGCGCCACCCGCGCCCCATACTCACCCCAGTAACCTCATTCAAATTTGGGGCTGGCGAAATCAACAGGCCTCCCCTGTCCCAAAATTGTAGAGTTAGAAGGGATCCCAAGGGCCACCTGGTCCAATCTTCTGCACTGCAATCATCACAGCTAAAGCATCCATGACAGTTGGCCATCCAATCTCTGTTCAGCCTTCCAAGGGAGTCCATTCCACTATTAAACAGCTCTTGCCATCAGGGAAGAGACACAGTGGTGGGTGCAGGGCCAGCAAGCAATTCTACTTGTGTGTCATAATGCCTGAACAATGCTTGTGATGTGTAATGTTTCTACATCTATATTTACATAATAGTGGCCATGCTTTGCATAATTTATTTTGGCTTGACTTTTTGTCTCTGCTGCCCTGTTTTAGTAAGCAGAGCCCCGCCTCGCTTTCTTGATAATCCTATCGCTATTTTTTTTAAATCATCTTACTGTAGCCATGGACAGAAGTAAGGTATTCTTGCGTAATAAGAATTCATAGCAGCTCTCTTGGGAGACTGAGCGTCCCAGCTTTTTGAGAAAAGAGGAGTTTCTAGGCCTCACAATGATATCAAATCACAATCACAAAGTAGGGTTGGTCCTAAAAAATGCCAAAGGCCACTGTAAAAAGATGTGTCTTCAGCAGCAGCTGGAAATGGTACAAATCTGCATAGTGAAAGGCCAGGAACAGGTCTGTGGGAAAGGAGGTCCACAACTTAGTGGCAGGAGCAAACTAGCAGTAAATCACACTGAGCAAGTGGAGTTAACTCTTTATTATCAAGTAGAGTTAACTCTGCATAGGAATGTCAGGCCTAATGAGCACAGCAACTCTTCTTTGGTAGGTCTTGCCCCTATGAGGCAGTTGCGGAGGCTGAAGATGTGCACCTTCCCACAGCTGTCTAATTCTCCTCCTTTCCTGGGTTTTCCCCAAGCAATCTGATACTACCTGCCAGCCTTTGCTCTTCCCACTTCATGCCTCTCCTGGTCCTGGGAGACCAGGGGGAGGGGAGGTTGTTGCAGCAGGAGGGGGAGACACCCTGGTTCCTCTCAGCCTCTTGGCCTGCTTTCTGCCCTGCTTCTCCTTCTGGACTTCTCTATAGACTCTTCCTGCTCACTAAACCCTGTTACCTCTTCAGCTTCTGACACCTCCTCCTTCCCCCTGTCTTCTCTCTCTTCTCCCTCTGCCCATTCATTGTTGTCCCACCACCAAACCCCTGGCTATGGGCCTTCTCCCCTTGGCAGTTCCCCAGCTGGTTCCTCCCACCACTTCTCTGTGTCCAACCATTCCATGTCCCTTAGAGGCTGCTACAGAGAACATTCTCCCCCCCCCCCCCCGAAAAAAGAGACTTTGGAGCTTGGTGGAACAACCACAGGGTCTTCTTCCATCAGCCTTAGCACCCAAGAGGGTCTATAGGAAAGGAGGTGTTTTTTCCGGGTATTTGGGGCCTAAGTCATTTGGGGCCATAGCTGTCAACCGTCCCTTATTTGGCGGGAAAGTCCCTTATCCCAGCGCCATGTCCTGCTGCTGTCCCTTATTGATGATGCCCCTTAAATTTCCCGGGTTTCAAAGGAAGCAGCTCCTCTCCCTCCCTCCCTACCGGTCAGCGAGGAGGGAGGCTCCAACTGTGTTGCTTGGCTGCGTTGCTCACCCAATAAGGAGTCTAAGAACAACTGGGGGTGGAGCTTGCATGCCTTATGCCGATCAAATCGGCTGCGTTGCCTGGGGACTTGCCTTTGCTCAGCGCTTCCCAGCGGAGAGGTGACGGTAGTTTTCCTTGCTGCATCCCCTTTGCTGGGTTGCTGTGCTGTGGAAACAACCGCTTGAGGCTTCGTTTTGCTGCCGGTTGACTAAAATCCCTTATTTTGGCTGCTGATCCCTTATTTTCGAGGCTGCTGGTCCCTTATTTTCAAATCTGTAAGTTGACAGCTATGTTTGGGGCTTTAAACACTAATGAAAGCACCTTGACTTACGCTTGAAAAGAAAAAAGTTTTTAAATTCAGGGGGAAAGAAAAAAGTGGGGTAGGGGGGAAAGAAGCACAAATCTCCAGTTTCTTTCAACACTTTCCTCTAATCAGCCTTCCAAAGGCCAAAGGGTCTCGAGGGTTCCCTACCCGAGAAGCTTGGAAATAAAATCTGGATCATCGCCGACAGGCCAGATCCCCTTGTGCTAAACTACCTTCCTCAGAAAAGAAGTGCAAAGCATTCATGCACGGAGTGGGAAGGGATGATGGAGAAAATCTGTACACAGAGTCTGAAACAGAACTTCCCCCATTCCTTTTTTTTTTTTAAGATATTTATTAAAGTTTCAAGCAAATAAAACAAACTTCACAATACAAAGAAAAAAGAAAAAACACCACTCAAAAATCAGGAAAAAAACACAGTGAAAAGCCCATCAAAAAAAAAAAAAAAAGAAAAAAATACATGAAAGGACATAAAAAAGAAAAAACCAATTTCTTAGATATTATTCTCATAATCCTCTTTCCAGACTCCCTCGCATCTCCCTTTTCTGCGTTCCCTTTTACAGAATCTTATTCAGCAATACCTCACCTTCTTTCAAATCTTATTTCATATTATACATTTCCACTATTATGTCTCCAGTTTTTCCCCATTTTTTCATTTTGTTTAAGTTTGACATAATATTGTTCTGACTTCACCTTTGTTCAGTTGACCATTTTTACATACGCCTCAGAACTTCCCCCATTCCGTAAGGAAAATAATTACAGTGCGTTCCAGTTGGATCATGCCATAGTGCAATTTCTGGCCACGCTCCTCATTTCCAATCAAGCTGCATCAGCCCAAAAGTGGTAGAGGTGCAAGAATGGCATTTTCTTGCCTACTCACTAAAATATTCATCAACACCCCTAAGGCCTTTAAACAGACCTTATCCATTGCTGGATTGTCTCTCCAATCCGTTGCTGGGTTGAATGGGGCTGCAAAACCAGGAAGAGGGAGAGAATTTCTGCCCAGCCTTATTAAAAACAAATAGATAAATAAATCACCACCAGCTTCACATTCACCTGCTAGGAAAGGCTCGAAAATATAGGCACTTCAAAGTAGTAGTATCACACAATATTTCAGAATTTATTGGGGGCAGGGAGGAGGTGACTAAGGTGTTCTATTTTGGCTAGATTTATTCATTCATTTTTGGGATGTGGGTGGCGCTGTGGGTTAAACCACAGAGCCTAGGACTTGCCAATCAGAAGGTTGGTGGTTCGAATCCCCGTGACGGGGTGAGCTCCCGTTGCTCGGTCCCTGCTCCTGCCAACCTAGCAGTTCGAAAGCACGTCAAAGTGCAAGTAGATAAATAGGTACTGCTCCGGCGGGAAGGTAAACGGCGTTTCCGTGCGCTGCTCTGGTTCGCCAGAAGCGGCTTAGTCATGCTGACCACATGACCTGGAAGCTGTACACCGGCTCCCTCGGCCAATAAAGCGAGATGAGCGCCGCAACCCCAGAGTCAGCCACGACTGGACCTAATGGTCAGGGGTCGCTTTACCTTTATTCATTCATTTCTAAGGTTGTTATAGGGGACAATTTGGGTCTGTCCCACTTCCTTTTCTTTAGGGATCACCCTCCCTGAGGTAGGAAATTCATAAGTGGTGAAGCCGCCCATTTCTCAGTTCTTCTCATTACCATTTTGTGTTCTTTTTGGTAAAGGATTATTTTGTCCATCTTTCCCATGGGCGATACTCTTGGCCCTGACAGTGAAGTAGCACCATCTGCCTAGAAAGGCAAGAGAAGATAGCTCTTGAACAACAGTTCTATTTTAATTAGGAGAAACTACAGCAACCCTACCTGAGATGGTCAACAGGAGGAATGACCATCTGTCAAAACCTTGTTTTCATTAACCAGGGCAGAAAAAGTGCTCCAGAAAATGAAAGTGAAGCCTCAGGCTGTGCTTGGACTCCACTGATTAAAAAAATAAATTCCAGGACCATCTTGTTCAGCCAACACTACTTCCGTGGGTGGATTTGAGCTACGAAGACGTCCAACCTTCTATCAAGAGGGTTTGGTGGGCTCATAAGAAGAGCTCTGCTGTGGGTTAGATCAAAAGCCCATCTAGGACACTTCTTACAGTGGCCCCCTCTCTTCTAAAAAAACCCACAAATTGTGGGTCAAGTGCAAGTGGATCAGAAAAGCATATTCATGGAAGCATAACTGTCAGCCAGACAAAGAGACGGGTTTGTTTATGGTTGAGTCAGATCAGATAGAACCTTCTTTGATAAATGGGGTGCAGCCAAACTAAGACCTGAGCGTGACCTATCTGCCTCCAGGTTGTGTTTAAAGTGACTCACCACACGAGATGCTGGTCCACAGATTCAAGGGGTTCCTGGTTTAAATTCTGATGCAAATGCACACTCAGTGCGGAAAGAGATTCTCCAAAGACTCCATCCAGCTTCTGTTATGTACCCTCACTTTCCTTATTTTCAGTGCTATTTTTCTAGAAAAAGAGGTGGCAGTACTCACCATTAACCCCTCCCTCTTTGCGTGGCAAGTTCCCGCCTCTCCCCTGTGAAATAAAGACACATGAGACAATCATTTAAGGTTAATGGGCTAAAATTGCCACAACTTTATTAGTTACAGGTAATGAGTGGTAAGGGACGTGGGTGGCGCTGTGGGTAAAAGCCTCAGCGCCTAGGGCTTGCCGATCGAAAGGTCGGCGGTTCGAATCCCCGCGGCGGGGTGCGCTCCCGCTGCTCGGTCCCAGCGCCTGCCAACCTAGCAGTTCGAAAGCACCCCCGGGTGCAAGTAGATAAATAGGGACCGCTTACCAGCGGGAAGGTAAACGGCGTTCCGTGTGCTGCGCTGGCTCGCCAGATGCAGCTTTGTCACGCTGGCCACGTGACCCGGAAGTGTCTCCGGACAGCGCTGGCCCACGGCCTATAGAGTGAGATGGGCGCACAAACCCCAGAGTCTGTCAAGACTGGCCCGTTCGGGCAGGGGTACCTTTACCTTTAGGAGAAAAACCAAGTGGCTGGTGCCAATTTGCCAAGTGGAAAAAATTCCTACCAGGCCCCTTAATGGCGACCAACCGAAGTCCATAGCAAGGTCGAACGGAAAGCCTAAAGGGAGGGAGGGTGGGAAACCCAATAAGCTGAGGCGGCAAAAGAGGGCAGTTCCCGGCCATGCCAGTGTATATACTCTAAGCCACGCGCCCCCCAGGCCAGCTGATTGGCTGGCCTGGATATGACGCGGCCAGGGATTCCTTCAATCGTGTGGGGGCTGAGAGCCAGGCCCCGCACAGGTGGAGGGGGCATGAAGCCTGCAACTCCACCTCCTCTCAAGTTTGGAAGTGGCTTTCTCTTAGAATGGCAATGGCACCTGCCTGAGAGATGCCAGAACTCACCTGAGAAGTGCTGAAACTGAGATCTGGCAAGTTCCTCCTGAAAAAAAGCCCTGCTTGTTTTGTGCATGTCCTTCGTCGCTCCCAAGTGTCTGGGCTGAAATTACCACTCACCCCATTCCCAGTTTTATGCTCCCCATTGGAAGACTGAAAATTTTTTGGTGTCCTGGCCCTCCCCGTCCAGTGAAGAACTTAAGCTCACAAATCTGGTTCTGCAAGAGGCTTTGATTTTCAGATCAGATCAGTGCATTAGGCGAGTGTCAGCTTACAGAAATCAAGAGCAAGTGCAAGAGAAGTTAAATGCATGGCGCTAAGCGTGAGCTAAAGCATTAATCCAACAAGCGCCACATGCCCTCACCTTCCTTGTGAAGATTGGGGCAGGCACAGCTATTTGTGCAGCAAGCGACTGGAGTCTCACCACTGTGCAATCCAACAGAGACACCAATTCCAGTAGGTTGGCTAAATGAGGTTTGTCCACTCCATCAGACATATCTTAGGTCTCTAGAACAGACACCTATCCCCCAACCCACTGGGAACCTAAAAGAAGTTTTTGCCTGGTTGCTCAGAAAGGGATCTGACCCACAGACTGAAAATAATCCCTAGTCCTGCCTTAACGCCTCCCTTTGCTGAAAAGAATTCAGGCTGAGGTGCTGGCAGTTAGAACCATCACTGGAGCAAACTTCATAGAATCACCCTTCTCCCTTCCTAATAGTCAAGGAAATCATGGAATTCTAGAGCCTGCAATGCCATTTGTGGCTGTTCTGGCTGCCTCAGCATAGGCAGTGAAAAAATGTTTGAGCAAAGTTCCCCTGCTTACTGGCAAACACGTTCCATTGAAGTCAGTGGGACTCACTTCTGCGTAGATAAGTTTAGCACCACACTGTTAGCCAATTAATCAATGAAACAGAGCCGTCCTTCCCACTAATGTGTTTGTGCACCAGTGTGCAGGCAAGCTCAAGTAATCCACTTTTCCTGTTTTCTACCCCTCCACCACAAGAAAACCCCCCAACTTGTCATGCTTTCCTTCCGGGCCGATTACACCACGGGGAAATCACGTCCCCCACGATAATGACAGTAATTAAAAGCACATTCTCTCCTAAGTGCCAGTGAATCGGTATGGATTGAACAACCTGGAGAGTGGATTTCTTTCTGTTGTCTGACACCGCAGTAATTTGTACAAGATGAGCCATTAAGCGCTCAAAGGCACCACATGTTTTTCAGGATTTCTGAGGCTGGCGGCGGTAATTAAAATTTCAGGTCGGGCGGGGGGGGGTTCCGCTTGACAAGTGCGCAAGCGGGCTCCGTGCGCTTCCCCAGAGATATCGAGGATTTGCCTCATGCCATTCTATGCTCCAGTGGTTGCTGGAAATTTCTGTCCCTCGTAAAGATTAACCTCTGGCAGATCCGCTAGTGCTCTCAAGCCCAAATAAACCCAGATGATGTATTCATAAGCACACAAGAAGACCTCTGCTGGATCAGACCAGTGGCCCATCAGTTCCATAATCCTGTTGTCACAGCAGCCAACCAGATTCCCCAGCAAGAAGCCTGTGTTCAGAACCCTGCTCCACAATCTTCTGCAAATTTCCAGCTCTACCTTACTAACCCTAAGCCTTTTTCTCCTCTGTGTTTCTCCACTAGGCAATGGATTTAAATGTTCCGGTGATGGCAAGGAATATCCCAGGGAATGCTGCAATAATCGCGCACAAGACAACTGGGCTGCTATACTCAAACCCCCAGGTAAAAAAAGAAGTAAAGACTCAATGCACACTTGCATTGAGAGCCAGTGTTGTGTAACAACTAGAGCAGGGGTCAGCAACCTTTTTCAACCGTGGGCCGGTCCACTGTCCCTCAGACCATGTGGTGGGCCAGACTATATTGGGGGGGGGGTGAACGAATTCCTATGCCCCACAAATAACCCAGAGATGCATTCTACTTATGTAAGAACACACTGATTCCTGGACCATCCGCAGGCCAGATTGAGAAAGCGATTAGGCCGCATCCGGCCCACGGGCCTTAGGTTGCCTACGCCTGATCTAGAGTGTTGGACTAGGAGATGAGGGTTCAAATCCCCACTCAGCCATGAAGCTCCCTGGGTGACCTTGAGCCCGTCACTCACTCTCAGCCTGACCTACCTCAAAGGGTTGTTGTGAGGATAAAATGGGGAGGAGGACTACATGTGCCACCTTGAACTCCTTTCAGGAAAGGTGGGGTATAAATGCAATAATAATAATAATAATAATAATAATAAATAATAATAAATGCTGGAATTTAAACCTACATAGGTTGGGGTTATGGTATTCAGTAGTGAAGCATATGATCACCATTGATATCAAATGACACGCAATTCATGTTGGGTTCCCTCCTATTTGCATCGTGTTTCCTTTGCACTGAAGTGAATCGCGTGGAATGATGTAATAATTACGTAATAATTGCCCATCTTCATTGTGACTAGCACTGTTCTGCTGTAATTCGGTTTCCAACAAAAACCGTTATTCACCTCACTTTCTGTATTATTATCTAATTTATTTCATAAAGTTCCGCCACAACAGACAGCAAGCCAAATAACATATTTTCGTCAGAAACCGAACTGTAGCAGAACGGAAGCGCTGCTGTATGTGACAGACATGGCTCAGAACGGAAATTGACGCCTTCAAGAAGGACACTGACAAACTGGAACGTGTCCAGAGGAGGGCAACCAAAATGGTCAAAGGCCTGGAAACAGCTAAGGGAGCTGGGCATGTTTAGCCTGGAGAAGAGGAGGTTAAGGGGTGATATGATAGCCATGTTCAAATATATAAAAGGATGTCATACAGAGGAGGGAGAAAGGTTGTTTTCTGCTGCTCCAGAGAAGCGGACACGGAGCAATGGATCCAAACTACAAGAAAGAAGATTCCACCTAAACATTAGGAAGAACTTCCTGACAGTAAGAGCTGTTTGACAGTGGAATTTGCTGCCAAGGAGTGTGGTGGAGTCTCCTTCTTTGGAGGTCTTTAAGCAGAGGCTTGACAACCATATGTCAGGAGTGCTCTGATGGTGTTTCCTGCTTGGCAGGGGGTTGGACTCGATGGCCCTTGTGGTCTATTCCAACTCTATTATTCTAATGCCTTCTTACCTCTTCTTACCTTCTTACCTCCCTACTCCTCAAATCAGTTTCCCACAATACTGCTGAGCAGTTCTACATCAGACACTCCAGGGTATTTGGGGAAACCTCAGATGGTTGGCAGCTTTGAAAACCTGGCCACTGCCAGCAAATAAGCCTGTGGCCAGGGAAACAGATTTGTGGGGAGGTCAAAGCAGTACCAACCCACAAGGGCAAGGTAGGTTTATTGCCAGTGGGGTCCTGCCAGGCACCTGGGTACTAGCAGCTACTTAAGAATGGTGATGGGAGAGATGGAAGCCTCCAGGGGAGACCTTGGACAATACCTTTTCATTGAAAGGGGCCTGAAGGATGGATCACATTCTAAAGAATGGGGAAGGGCTGTGGTTCCAAGGTAGAACACCTTATTTGCCTGCAGAAGGCCCCAGGTTCATCCCCCGCCATCTCCAGGTAGGACTTTGCAAGATCCCCTGTCTGAAATCCTAGAGAGCCCCTATTGGTCAGCGCAGACAGTACTGGGCTGGATGGACCAATGATGATGATGATATATTAAATTTGTTAGTCACTTTATCTTGTCGAAGGCAACCCACAGGCAACCAACCAATCAACAAACGAGCAACCACACAGAGAAACATTAAAACCAAAGGGAAACTGAAACTCATGAAAAACAACTAAAAGGCCACAGAGATTTAAATGCCAAAGGCCTTGGTTAGAGAGTAAATTGTTTGCCTGTCACTGAAAGATATATAAGAATGGCGCAGGTGAACCTCCCTGGGGAGTTGTTGTTGTTTAATCATGTCCGAATCTTCGTGAACCCATGGACCAGAGCACACCAGGCACTCCTGTCTTCCACGCAGTTTGGTCAAACTCATGTTAGTAGCTCGAGAACACTGTCCAACCATCTTGTCCTCTGTCGTCCCCTTCTCCTGCCCATCTTTCCCAACATCAGGGTCTTTTCCAGGGAGTCTTCTCTTCTCATGAGGTGGCCAAAGTATTGCAGCCTCAGCTTCAGGATCTGTCCTTCCAGTGAGCACTCAGGGTTGATTTCCTTAAGAATGGAGAGGTTTGATCTTCTTGCAGTCCATGGGACTCTCTAGAGTCTCGTCCAGCACCATAATTCAAAAGCATCAATTCTTCGGCGATCAGCCATTCTTTATGGTCCAGCTCTCACTTCCATACATCACTACTGGGAAAACCATAGCATTCCACAAATGGGGAGCCACCACAGAACAGGCCTGTTCTTGTGTTTCCACCCTCTAGATCTCTTGTGGAGGAGGCACATGAGGAAGACACTCTGTGCCACCGAGGCTACTCAAGCATGGATTCAGAAGTACCCCCAAGCTATGTACCTGCTCCTTCAGAGGTAGTTCAACCACATCAAGAGCGGGCAACATCCCATCCATCTAGGGAACCACTCACTGACAGTGCCTCAGTGTCATGTGGATTGAGCTTCTGTTGGCTCTCATCCAGTCTACTACCACTGCAAGACAACGGTCCAAGAGGTCCAGTATATAAGGCAGCTTCCTATGTTCTGATATTCCACAGCTCCCATCTGGTTAGCGTTTAGTATTCTAAAGGCAACTGGCACCCAGGTAGCAGCAAAACCCAACTATCACTTTGATTTTAAGTCCCCAGCATGTCTCCTTCGCAGGCAACCTATGCTTTTGAAGCTTCACCCTATATCCCAATTAACTGGTGGTCTTAATTAGGCTTGGAAAGGAGGGGTGTGTGAGAGTATTAATCCTGTTGATTCTATAAATTAAATTTTGGCCTCCAAAAATCAGCTAAGTGCAATAATAACGTGCTCCGCAAAGAAAAGAAAAATCCCAACGCCAACAGATTAAATAAAACTGCAGAGTGTAAAATGCATTTTTGTTCAGAGTGCCTATGATTAATGCATACTATTAAGTCAAGTCTGAGGAAGGTAGATTCTCTGTTTTCATTAGATTTTGGCAGTCACACTTCCCTTACCCCCTGACCCTCCTTCCACCCCCTCTTCCGATAAAACGATTGTGCCTAACATTTTTCTCCCTGGAGAGTTCATTGTTCCCCGCGGTCTTCACAAATGAATCTCTTTGTTAACAAATGCAATTGGTTTTTCCGGGAAAAAGGTACTTGTATCAACGTGGAACTCACCTCCGCACCCCTGGTGTGCGTTGGAGAGACAGAACGGCTTGATCTCAGGCAGAGGTTGCTTATTGCCCATAGATCTTGAGTCTGCAAGTTCGGCTAGTCCTTCGTGGCCTCCGTACAGGAATGTTCCTGAACATTAAACAACTTTGGATACTGGTCTCACACCTCCTTCATATATGCATGCCCCAAATGTGGGGAGAGACTGGATCCGGCTGGTGGGCCAGATCCTGATCTCCCCCACCCTCCCCTAGGTTTATTGTGGGGGTGACACTGGTGGAGAGATGCCATTGTGCAATTGATAGCCACAACAGAATCCTCCCTGACCACCAGCCCTGCCTTTTTATTTGAGGAAGAAGGATTCCGGCGCTGAAAGGGTTTTAGACCATCCCTTGACCTTCGCTGGAAAGGAGAACCTGCCAAAGTTTGAAAAGCAAGTTCTGTTTCAGGGGTTGCAAACCTCAGGTCCTTGGGCCATATGTGGCCCTCCATGCTCTCTGTCTGGACCTCAGGATTCTCCCCAGGCCACGCCACTCACCGGCCTGCACTGCACCTTCTTGACTGTTTTTTGCCTCCCTGGAATGTGTTGTTTTATTCATTTGCATGTATGTGTGTGTGTCAGGGAACTGCCATCGGAGCCGATAGTGGAGGTAAGGCTCTCCAACGATGCAGGAGAAGGGACCAGCAGGGGGAGAGAGAACACTTCCTTTGAGGAAGGAAATAGGAGTGACACCAGGAAGCAAGGGGAAACTGCGGAGAGAGGGCTCCAAGACTCTTCCACAGAGACCGGCGGGGAGAGCACAGGACCTCCGTTGGGCACGCCCACTCTGTGCAGGAGACTTCCACGCAGGGAGGCGAGGAGGAGACTTGCTGTCAAAGAGTTTCTATGTTGGAAGAAGTTCAGGAAACACCCACTGATGGATTCTGCCAGCGACTGAGACAGCCATGGAGAAAGGGCTGTCCAGCCAGGGAAAGTTTTTGCCAGGCTACGTTGCCTAGAACAGTAGCACCCTTTACGCACAAGCAACCCCAATATCCTTTACAGTGTGTGTCATTTTTTTCTGCACAAAAGCATACAGAAGCAAAGATTATGTGTTCTGAAAACTGTTATTCTTGCAGAACATATCCTATTATGATTTCATTCTTTGTAAGTATCCAATACATTTTAATCATCAGTGCTATTCTTTCTGCATTTGCTACCTTTTATCTCACCTGCGAAGAAATGTTAAAGCTATTGTATGTGATAATTCTGCTCCGTATATGTCATAAAAGGAGACCCTAATCTTTCAGATTGCCCCTGCGTTTGCCTCCTCCCCTCGCTGGGTCGTATTGTGCTTCCATTCTCTTTTTACTGTTGGCATCTTAGAAGAAAATGTTCTTGAACTTGTGATAATGCCTCTTCCTGGCTTGGATGGAGGACAGAGAAGCGTGTTTATAGACACATTGGACCAACCTGCCCCAACCTGGTGCCCTTCAGATGTTTTAGGCACAACTCACACAATCCCATCCAGCACAATCAGGCTGTCGGAAGCAGTCACCCAAAACATCTCAAGGGAGCCAGGTTGGGCTCAGGCTTCTACATGGCTGGAATTGAGCCAGCTTCAAAGTGGTAAGAGTTGAATTCATTAAACCCCCATTTTTCTCTCTGTTCCGTGGCAGGCAGCCCCTGGAAAGCCCTTCCCCTTAACCTGCTCTCTTCCATAGACCAGAGGCAGAACACCTGCTTTTCATGCAGGAGGCCCCAGGTTAGGTCCATGGCATCTTCAGGTAGGTCTGGAAACGCCACGGCCTCCAATCCTGGAGGACCCCTTGCCAGTCCATGTAGACAATACTGCGCTTGATGATCTGACAATCTGTAAGGCAGCTGTTCCTGTTCCCTTGCAACGTGGCAAGTTTATAGAGTGTAATCTCCTTTGGATCCTTTTGGATGTTGGCAGTGGGATAATAACAACAGCTATTTCTCACCTTTTCAGGAGTTTGTCCAGCTGTCTAAAAGCCTGATCGGCGACCCATTTCTGCACAAAGAGATTGTGATGAAGGCAAAGGAGTATGTCACAAAGCACCACTCATGGGAACACGAAAGGAAAGCGTATCAGAACCTTGTGTTGATGCTTCAGTGACGCACTTTGCATCAAGATACAGGCACCCAGCATGGATGGATCAAACCAGCCAAGCCAATCTGATTTTTGTGATTAATGACACTTACTGATTCCGCCCTCCCTCTGTATCACCTGCTCTCTGTGGTACCAGTTGAAATGTAGCATACAGTGGACACTAGAATGATTGCGGGGGGGGGGGGTTGTTTCCATGAGAGGACAATATTCACAGATATGGATAATCAGTGATGTATCAATATGATACGTTTTCTTGGAATTATATGCATGCACACCTATGCGTAACACATTCAAATGCAAACACATGCACACTAGGAATGCCGTTGGATCGTGGAAATCATTCTCGGTTTGACTTATGGGCCTAGTTCCAGAGTAAGCAAGTTAGGCAGTAGTCCCATTGAAAATGAGGAGGTCGAGTTAATTACGATTGTTTCATTCATGTCCTTTTAATTTCCATAGGACTTCAGTGGCCATGGTTCGTTTACTGACCCTTAATCAGTTTACATGTTTGCTGACCCTTAATCAGTTTATCCATCGATTAGAAAGAGCATGTGTGTAAAAACACTTGTTTTAAAGGGGGGGGGACCAGAACTTTCCTCCCAGTGCTAATAACAGCAGGGGAGGAGTTAAACTCTAGTTCTGCAGTCTCAATAGTTATGACTCTTCCCCCACCACATCCACGGTTTCTGTTTTGTTTTTTTATGTGCCCTTAAGCTGGGCCATAACAAACAGTTTAAAAGGGTGTCTCTCTTGGGTGTAACTGAACAGATGCCATACAGCAAAGACATACGGCTGCTTTGACTTTGCGCCTGCCAAGACATTCCACTAACAATGTTGGTTGGGGCAAGGGTGTCACTCTGACATGTCCACCGGGGGGGCGGGGGTGTATTTATATTGATCCATGTCCACATCTTGAGTTGGAGTTTATTTCTTCAAGTTGATGTTTACACCAACTTCACATTTCCTGGAAGCTGGTCGCTACCTCAGAATATATAATAATTGCAATACTGCATTTTTGTGGAACCTCATAAATCTCCTTCGTGTTTGGCCGTGAGAAGCTCATGCTCCATAGAAGGGAAGTGGCGAGTAATTTGCATTCAGTACTTTGTGCAAATTCCGGATGCTTTATTTTATTATTTTTGTCCTCTGAATCGCAGAGTCGTTGGCACCATTGAGCACATTGTAATAGGACTCTGCATTTGCAAAAGGGAATTAAAGGAGGGCTCTTGTGCCTACAGATCTGGAAAGCAATTGTGATTCATTTCCCAGCGGTAGAAGTAATGCCTTTGTTTCTCCCTCCGCTTTGCCATCACCACCAACCCCCACCCCCCCAAAAAAATCTGGCTATGAGATATCTATCTATCTATATTTATCTCTCTATCTATCTACAGTGGTGCCTCGCAAGACGAAATTAATTTGTTCCGCGAGTTTTGTCGTCTTGCGATTTTTTTCGTCTTGCGAAGCACGGTGTCGGGAAAGTTTTGGAAAAGCTTCAAAAATCACCAAAGTCTTTTAAAACCTCAAAAAAGGCTACCACACCGCATTCTATGAGTTGCTCCTCGAAGTCAAGTTGCAACTGTATTAACGGTGTTAAGAAAAAGGAAACAAACTTGCAAGACGTTTCCGTCTTGCAAAGCAAGCCCATAGGGAAAATCGTCTTGCGAAGCAGCTCAAAAAACAAAAAACCCTTTCGTCTAGCGAGTTTTTTGTCTTGCAAGGCATTCGTCTTGCGAGGTACCACTGTATCTGTTTTATGAAGCTTTAAGTACATCCTGTTAGGGAAACTATACTTGAAGACCCTGTATTGGAGGGAGTCAAGCACAATGAGTTATTCCTTGTGATTAGTAAAATGTGATTGGCAAGGGGGGACGTGACTGTGCACAGCGATTTCTGTAAAACTTGCGTTTCCATGGGCATCGAGGGACTTAATCGTATCATGTAGGGTGGATATGATTTAAATCAAGCCGATTCAAATCACGATTTAAATCACTCATCAGTAAGACTTGATTTAAAACGTTTTTTTGTTTACAGAAAGACTCATTCTTGCTGGTATAATCTTAATGTTTACATCCAGATAAAGGTTTCATTTCTGGAATAATAAATTTTCAGAGTAGTTTTTACAATTATATCAAAAATTACTGATTTGGTTATACTATTAGAAATACATAGACAGAAATTATTGTGAGGTTTAATAAGTTAACTGTTTATATTTGGACCACTTTACTTTATTGGAAGGAGAAAAATAATATTTAGTAACAATTTAAACAATTTATTTAACTAAAACAATGACATTATAGCATATGTATCCATGTTTGTTAACTGATGTGGTTAAACGATATTTTTTTAAAAAAACCTCGGGTTAAGAACTTTGCTTCAGGATAAGAACAGAAATCGCGCTGCGGCGGCACGGCAGCAGCAGGAGGCCCCATTAGCTAAAGTGGTGCTTCAGGTTAAGAACAGTTTCAGGTTAAGAACGGACCTCCGGAACTAATTAAGTACGTAACCAGAGGTACCACTGTATAGTCCGGTCCACCACATGGTCTGAGGGATAGTGGACCGGCCCCCTGCTGGAAAAGTTTGCTGACCCCTGATCATCTACACATATCTTTTTCCACCCATGCAATCAAGATCACAGGTCAAGGGCACATTCCAGCCACAGAATGTGGGGGGCCAGCTGGAAAGAGTCCCCTACCCTTGGCGCAGACAATTAGATGAGCCACCTTTCTGACTTGGTATAAGGCAGCTTCTCGTTTCCCTCCAGCTGGCCTGACCTGTAGACAGGTATACCTACATGGCTGCACCGTGGCTCCACTCAGTGGCAAATGCTATAGACTAACTTAAGAGGTACACAGCCAGCAAGGTGGTCTGTGGTGGGTTCCATCAGGATCATCTATGTTGGGTGGTCTCACTGGGACTGGCAGGGCAGAAGGCAGAGCTGATGACAGATGGAGCCAACTAATTCTAGTTTTACTCCCATCCTGCTCCCTGCTGAGTTCTGCAAGGGCAGCACTGAGTCTAAGGTGGTGGAGGAAGCCGACAGTAAGGCCACCCTCTGGAATGGGTGAAAGCAGGCAGGTGGGTGCTAGCTGAAGCAGACTGGTGTCGGTGGGGCAGGGCCCCATTTTCCCAAATGCACCAGCCTCCACTGCTTGACTGAAAAGATCGGTAGGATTCTGGCCCAATCAGAGCACACTCTCTATTGTCTTTTATTTATGATTTTCAGTTATAGGCATTTCAATCATTCTAACATTTAAAAACTCGACTTCCTCCTTTTTCTGTGGTTCCTTAAATTTATTTTTTTACATTTCCTGCATATTCTAAATTAACTTATTCTTTTATTCATCTACTTTAAATATATGCTCTTGTGAAACTGTAGGTTATTACAATAGTCCAGCCAATGTCCTTATCTGTTTGCAGTATGTTTGTAAATATTCAATAAACTATTTCCGTTCTTTTATAAATCGTTTATTATCTTGATTTCTTATTTTTCTGGTAAGTTTCACCATTTCTGCATATTCCATACGTTTTTG